TTATATATATATTTACATATAGGATGATTCACCGAACATACTACCCCATTTTTTCCTTTAATAATACATTTTTTCAAATTATGGTTGTTTTTAATTTTTGGATATACTCAAAGACTGTATTTTCAAATCCTTGAATTTTTGTTTTTATATCACATTAGGCGTGTTCTATGATGATGCAAATTTCTATTTTTCAAATAAGAACCCCCATTTTTACTGTAAATTATTAGGTAAAAATTTTTTTTAGAAAATGTTGATTTGCTTAATTCAAAAATTGAATGAGTACCTAGTTTCCTAGTTGTATGTTAAGGATATAATAGTCCTAAAAAGTGGTTTGCAAAAAATATAAAATAGACATAAAATTAGACATATTATTTATTATACATGAAAAAAAAAAATGTGATCATGATTGGTTAATCATCCATGTACCTATATACCTATTTATTATTATGATTAAGTCGATGTTTTGACTACATTTTAACGGTGTGATAAACACAATTCACATGTGGTCTTATCACACAAAAACTTAATCATATTTAACACAAACACTTTAAAATATTGCTATATTTTCTTTAAAGTTTCACCGTAAATAGCGCAATAAACATATTTCACAGTAGAAACATACACTAATAAAACACTATCAATCATTTTTTGCCATTTTTGTAAAGGCTGGGAGTTGTTTAATTTTTTAACTGAAACTATTTCAATATAGCTATCGTGTTTTAGAATTTTGGATAGCATTGTTGAACTTATTATATACGAATATTATCAAAAAATTAAAAATCATTATTCACACATTTTCAATGTAATCAAATATTTTCAATATTTTTAAAATATCAAAGTTTTTTTTTTATTTTCACTGTGGTAGAATATAAAAATAAAAATTAGAAAGTTACTATATTCTAATGAACTAATGTTGAGTTTTTCGGTCTTTAGGACTTATAGGTGTATTTTACATAGATGATTACATAGCACGTTGAAGTTCAGTATAAATATTGTTGATTATACCAAAAATCTAATTATCAATTTGGATAAAAAGTCCAATTTACCCACGGTAGACAAACGATTGGTGTTTGATGTTTGGACAAGAAGAGTTATGTGACGGTGAAGTTATAATTTTATCTCTACGCCCATTTTCCACACATAATAAAATATATTCATTATGGCTCCTATCGTCTAAATTTTAAACGGTTCATAAATCAATCTGACCTACCTCCACAGCATAAAATAATTTTGTTGCACTGCTGAATAATATGTGTTAAACAGAAACTGCTAAAATTCTAGTCATTTGATATTAACTTTTCCAGCGACTAAACCCGAGGCACTGTATTTACAGTTCAAGCCCAAAAACTCGTTGCTCTCTATTGATTGGTGTATAAAATTACAAATATGCACAACAACAACAAAACAACACTACCTACATGACGTTGATTACACACAAAATACAATATTCATACCCACGTAGAAAATCTGAATACATTATAATATTATTATTATGTCCTGTAAATAATAATAATAATCTTCTAGTTGAATCGATTCCATTATTATGTCTCGTATTACTAACTTTGTCCATTATTCCTGTTAATATCCGCTATAGATTCACGTAGTATAATCCATTGTCATACCTAACTAAAGAATCCAAACATCCCTCAGGTATAAGGCGTATCGAACGGTATTAATACTATTAATATTACTATGATCCAGTATATTATATACGTCACGAATGAAAAAAATTTGGAAATAACAAGCATACAACCTTCATCCTTCGTTGTTACTTTACCTGTACTTAAGATGTATAACTGTATAGTATTGTTCGTTTTTGTTTGACCTACAAATTACAATAGGTATTACATGCGAAATKAATTTGTAAAATACACATTGTACACATTTTCTAATGAAAATTCCGTTGACTATATGAGTATATGACGTATGCGTGATTATATAGAATTAATGATATGCATACTTCAACAAATAACTCTCTTATACATACATGCGCATTATTTAATAATATGTATTTAAATTTCTAAACTACTAAAACGTTTTACGAATTTATAAGAAACGATTAGATTTAATACAACGGTCTGAATACTACGGTTATATTTATAGTTTTTAATTCAAATTTGTCAAAATTGGATATACTTATGACATATTAGATCAGTAGCTACACACATACAGTCGATACATGCAACATTTCAAATGTCGGATCAAACTAATCATCATTTATAATTATTTTGAAAATAAAATTTCGATATAATATTATACACTGTCAATAGGCAATACAAATGGTTCATAATAATATGATATTTTTCTTAACATATTTTCCTGATAAATATGGTATACACATAACTATTAACTATATTCTACATCATTAAACGTAAATATCATAAATTCATAAATTATTGATTGACGGCGGTTATTGATAAACTATCCAATGCGAATAATCATCTGTGACAACCATTAAATGTCTATCAGCTACTATTAAATTGCTTGATTGTTTATTTTATCTTAATTAAGAGGACGCTACACCCGTATGTGTTGTCTCCGTCTTACAAGTGCATAACATTGCAAAAACTGTTTCACGCGGGAAAGAACCGAGAAAGATACAGTTATAACTAAGAAACGAAATTATCACCACATAAAAAGGAGAATTTTGTCTGTCCAATATCGTCTTTATTTTTTCGATATCACTTATACAAAAAAAATTATTATTGTTTTATAATACATTAGTTTTGTGTTTTTAAGCATGAATAACTTTTTTTGTAGTTCTGATTGGACAGACAAAATTCTCCTTTTTATGTGGTGATAATTTCGTTTCTTAGTTATAACTGTAGCTTTCTCGGTTCTTTCCCGCGCGAAACAGTTTTTGCAATGTTACGCACTTGTAAGACGGAGACAACACATGCGGGTGTAGCGTCCTCTTAAATAAAAATACTACGCGTAAGAATCTATTTTGACCATTGTTGAATTTACGAAGATAATGGCCAAGTGAATCAATTTACAAACATACAATTAAATGCAATAATTCTTTTTGAATTCAATATCATTATTATTACACTCAATGGCTCAACATAGAAAAATGAAATTTAATAATAAATACACATATTATATGTATATATTAGTGTTAGACTAATACCTTTTTGTTTTATCGAAGTTTAAAAATAATAAAATAAAATTATTGTTTCATCTTATTTTTATTTTACATACAAACGTAGTAATTATTTTATATGTTTAACAATAAATACTCATTATATCAAAATTGTAAGATTTTTTTTAATCCTTAGTTTTGATAAAAAATTTTACAATCAGTTCTGCATATTTAATACTTACTTATTTATACAAAAATTACTATAGTAAAATTAAAAATGTAGGTTTTATCAAAAGTTATTATCAGTTTTCTCAACAAACAAAACCTTAGAAATTTAGGGATAGTATAAAACGTAAGGACTGAATATCAAATTATAACTAACATTATCTGAAAATAAAATTTAGAAGAAGTCCTTATTATGTTTGAGACAAAGTCTATTCTCTATTAGAAAAATCACAGTTTTAAAATAAAATATTAAGATAAAAATTAAAAGATTACATAATAATAATATKTACAGTGTATAAAATAGAAATTAATAACAATTTATTGTAAAATTCAAAATTCCATCTTCGCTAATAATGCATCTATAAACAAGTCAATTATCATTATTATGTTTCACACTTCTTTAGATTTCAATTTTCAGCTGTGGTATGATAATATTAAATTATAAGCAAACTAATTTCACATATTCCGATAGTATGAGCCGCCCATTGCACACATCATTATAATATTATTTTTGTACTGCGTGTGAAGCGTTAAACAAATTATAAAATCGTACCTATTTTATAATTTTTAGTCTACATTTCTTAGCTTATTTATAAGTTATTACCAAAGCTGATAATACTTGAATACTATGCAAACTATTTTCGTCAGAGACATGCATGTTTAAATGTATTGCGGTCAGTCGACAAAAAAAAATAATTGGGCTTTTTTTACTTTACATATTTTGTAGTTAATTATTATCAATTTATTTCCTATTGTTAGTTATTAATATAATTGTAATCAAATATCAGTCTTATTATTACATATTACTAAAATTTTAATATGTTTAATAATTGGTTAAGAACGACGTGTTTTCATGTATCCATTCAATCATCCAGATTCTTTGACGGGCATAAAATCATACCATCACTGAAGCCTCAAAATAATGTCCTTAACACTCCAATAAATAAACCTCGTAAAAAAATTTTGCTCGCAGCACTGATATTCTCTGGTCATTATAATTTATAGTAATCTATAATGTAAATTGTATACATTTTGGGTGTTTTCATTCCTTATTAGTAGGGCCCGGATTTAAATGCACTTAAAACCATACAAATATGTTCCAAAAAATAGCCAAAAATGTCCTTAAAA